GTCCCGAGGGACCGAATAAACTTAGACTCGGCACACATGCACATAATACAGGCAAGCGGTGGACTTGCCCGACCCCCCATCGGGATGCCTTTCTTTTGTCGTAGAATACTGTCAGCAACAAGAAAAAAGGTATTCTTGAGTTGGAAATTAGTTAAATTGATCAATTTATTTAGGCGCAAGGATTTCCAACCGGTTTCCCCATGTGATTTTTCAAAAGTCACCAGTTTCTTCCGAGTATTAAATCTGAGCCACCGTATTCCTTTCTCCACAAACAGGCTGACGATCCATTCAACAGCAAGGCGAATCTCATCGTGAGGCAGTTGGGTGAACATTTCTTTAATGTCGTAAGTACGGGCTACGACCTTAAGGTCTTCTGATTTTCCACACCGCAGATTCACCTTTTCAATTTCTTTGCTCAGATCGCACAAACTTCTAAAGTTAAAATGCGGGACATGGACCCGTTTTATAAGTTCATTCAGACCAAGGGATAGCATGCTAGAAGCGGAGCGAAAAGGGCTCTGATAGGAAGGGACTATTGGCCTCCTTTTTTTTATCTTTATCCTTTTCTTTCGTCATAATGTACGAGTGTTGCAAAACTCCGTGTGTGTCCCAGTTGGCAGCATCCAATAGCCCATCCAATTTATATGCATTTCGGATTTCCAACAGAACTTCACTTTTTCCTTTGTTAACCACTCCATAATTCTTGTTTTCAAGGAACATCTTTTTTAACCCGTCCCCATACCTTTTGGGGCATTCGATCCATATTTCGCTTGCGTTCCGATCCAATGGAGACATGACCAGCCCCTAGAAAGCATGTTTAAACCCCCGTGACATATGCGTTCAAGACACAACCGACTGGCTTAGGCTGGCCTTTCTTGTTTACTTTAGTAGTGTTGATTCAAAATTGCGTCCTGATCAGATCCATCTTGTACAGACAGCCAAGTGCGTCATTGCATGCTTTATTAAGTTCATCTTTTACAGCAAGAGTGTCATGAAACGACACATTTTTTGAATTAAACACGAATGGGTGTATACCGTCCACCTCGCTAAGCTTAACTGCGACTTGCCCGTCTCTTCGGGGTAGGTCGAGGTCAGCACAGGTGCAATCCAGACCGCAACTCTGTGCGTAGGCCTTTTGGTTATGCAGAAGATCACCAACCGATTTGGCTCTCAGCCACACGGCTCTGGACCTCTTAGCATATAAGTCAGCTAGTGAGGTAGGCAGCACGTTTCCCACAATCCATTTTTCACTTCTGATTCAACACACGCTTTGTTAATTGTCGTACAAAAATGAATCTTAATAACTACATTCGCACGAGGGTTCAAACCAAATTTCTTTTTGAACACATTAGTCAAGATGCCACGAATGATCTGCCGTCCACGTTCCTGATTAATACCCTTAACAACATTATTGAGCTCAATCAACTCATCCAGCCCGCATTTGTACAGATCCCTCCGTTTCTAGGGGGCCCTCAGTAGGGCTATCAGTTCTCCTTTCCTTAGTTCATTCTTGGTTTTTGTCTGGAAAAGCTCAGTGATCTGTCATTCCCCGCCTTCTTCAATTGCTTGTTTAGCATCTTTAAGTAGCAAGTTATGGCCCTAACATCTTACTTTAGACAACCCAAAAAGCAACATGGACAGATGGTTCACCAGGGAAGAGCTCGTGCAGACCACTCCCCAAGTTGAAACCCAATACGAGACATCTCTACAGAAGGGAAAGTGCCCTATGATCGAAGACTGAGCTTCTCACAGGACTGTTGAAGCTGAGGAGGAGGTAATGCGAGGCCAATGCCTCTATGAGCCCCATAAGGCTCCCTTTTTGCAGCCCGTTGGCCGCCCTAAGTGAAGGCAGGCTCGACGAGGCCCTTAGGGCCCTTTTCTGGCCACCACGCAACTCAAGGAAATTCAAGCAGTTGCGCAGCGCCAGTTGGTTGAGTGAACCCAGGCCCTGGGCCGCCTGTGTGAACGTACGTGAAGCAGGCCCTGGGCTGGATATGGGTACCAGGCCAAACACAGGCCGAAAGCAGTTGGGCACATGCAACCAATTCAAACCCAAGACCTGCTCTCCTCGTAATTGGGCCTGAGGCAACCGGGGCCTACTAGAAGCTTCCTGGACTGGACGCAGGCAGGCCACTTCGATATAGGGAAGGGTCTGCCTCCTCATTCAGCATTCGGGTGTTGGTTGCATGCTGTGCAAGCGCTGCTGCGCTATTTGGTGGCTGGCGCCTACGCTCTCACGGGCGAGCAGGGAAGGAGCACGCAACGATAGCCGAGCTGCACTGCTATATGCTGGGTGAAGCGCAGGGTGGTCCTTGGGTGCTAGTGGCATCTGTGAGTTGGGGAACGAGGTTGTGAGTGTAGCGCGAGACCTACCTGGTGCTGGAAGTGTGCGACATTGGTCGCCATATGCTCGTACTTCAGGAATGTTGTTGATGTCATCTTTCGGCTTCGTAGTATAGGTTAGATAGGATCTGCCACGTGTAGTATGGGCGCCGAGCGCCAGATAGGATAGTAACTCTGGTTCTTTGTTGATGATGATGGGACTACTTCAACATTGTCAATTATGAACTCTTGGTGTGTTCTTATTTGGTGAATCTTGTGTTGCAATTCTGCTTTTGGTTCGAGGTCAAGACTATCTGGACACATATGTATGATGTTGTTTGATTGTTGAAGTTCGTTATTGCTGAACTTCCTTGCAGGTCTCTCTACACCCTTACAGTAAAATCAATCTATAGAATGCTAAGAGTGAAAATAAATCTCAAAGATAAAAGTATCAGCGAGATGGAGGAAACATCTTAATCTCAGCCAAGCAGATACAAGACCAATCAAGTGGTTTAGCTCAATGAAATTCAAACATGTCAAGGTTGTATCACTCCAATGACAGATTGAACACCGATGTCTACCCACTAATGATTGGTTGATGGACATATCCTCTCTAAAAAACAAAGGAATAGCCTCTCGATGGTGCAAATTCTGTAAAACTGTCTTTCCCAACTGACAGATCCTCGAAACTATTGAGCATTTATCTATACAATGTCCAGGGTCTATATAGCTTTGGAGATGGTGGGTTCGTATATAGTCTCAATTAGGTCCATTTATATCAAGGTCATGGA